TAAGAGGACCCATACACCTATTACCTTAAGGTTTTGGGTGAATATATGGTGTCTCTCTCACTTGTTTGGGTGAGTCTTTGACCTTTAGGTGGGTTTTTGATCCAATGTGAATGCTTCCCCCTCATGATGACCAACCAGTGGTATCAGAGCCGATGGTTTGAGTAAGGAACTGACTTCTTGTGTCGAAAGTCTTCCTGACATTGTGGTTAAGAGGCTTGTTTTGTTGAAGTGCTCAAGACGAGATAAAGGTGTCTCTCAACGGCGGTACAAACATGTGGATGAAAGAACTTTTGCTTGAGGTGGAGTATAGTGGATGGAATCACACTTGAGGGGAGATTGTTGGGAAAATGTGAGTTTTAAATTCCACATTACTTATAAAAGTGGAGGTTAATCACTTTATAAGTAAGATGACTCATACACCTATCACCTTAAGGTTTTGGTTGAATATGTGGTGTCTCTCTCACTTGTTTGGGTGAGTCTTTGACCTTTAGGTGAGTGTTTGACTCAATTTAATGCTTCCCCCTCATAATGATCCAACATGTGTGACTCGAGTTACGACACTCTTTGACTCAAATAACAATTTCCTTTGACTTGAATCATGTTCATACACTTTTTGAAAAACTAACCATGATTCAAATCACTCTTTTGTCTAACTCGAATCATGGGTTCCAAATCATGATTCAAATTAAATTGACAATTTCCATATTTTATTAACTTAATCCAACTCATTGTTTTTTTATTCAAATTATAACTGCATGATTTGTCTTGAATGGTTTGTTCTTTTCATCACCTTCTTATGTCTAACCTCTATAACCTATATAAATTAATTTTTCCAATTTTATAAAAAAAAGGGAGTCAATCTTACACATTCGTAAGAACTTGTTAAGTGAGTTATTAATGATCAAGATAGAAAATTCATATTTTTATAAAGCTTAAGAAAAACCCATGAGTATTTTTCCTTCGCAAACACACCTCCTTGTTATTTCAACCTTTTGAAAAGTTTCATAGAATGTTGTTATTATGATATCTAGTTTATGGTATGTGAGATTATTTTGATAAGATTTATCATATTCAACCTTCAACCAAGGAACCATTGTTATGGTGTTCAACTCTAAAGATTGAGTCTAAGTGATAGATCCAAGATACATCAGGGAAGCTAATGTTGTTGAGAAGTTTTGTTGTGTGTATCAAGATAAAGAATCACTTTGTGCCTCTATGATATCTGGAGATTTACTTCAAGAAAAGATAAAAAGTGTTATTTATAATCCATTGAAGACTTTGGTAAAATTGTGTAAATGTTGATGTGGAATGAAATTGGAAGTTTTCTAATTATTCTTAGGCACCACATAGGCTTAAACAAGGAATTGGTAGGACTGAGTCAAAGTCACTGCACGACGGAAGTTTTAAGCAGGATATTTGGGTTTATCAATATTTTTAGATAAACATCAAGTGAAGATATTTAAATATTGGCAATTTCAGTATCCTGCTACAAAAAATCACCTTAATTAGGTCTTAAAAGAAAACTCAAATGGGTCAACAAACCAATATTTTGTTATACGTAAAGAAATGATTGAAATAAAAGAGCATAATGAGTACTTAACCCACCAATTCACAAAAACCCAAGCACAACAATTCAGGCCAAGAAACAGATAAAAAAAACTAGGAAACATACAACCTTAGATTAGATCCTCAAACTTCCCAATTAGCATGACCATAACCTATAAGACTAATTCCTAACTAGTCCCAAGACATGGCTTTAATTGATCACACTACAATCCTCACAAACCCGAGCTTACCATTACACACACACACACACACACACACACACACACACACACACACACACACACACTCATTTCTACTAATCCAAAGAGAGCAATAAACAACTAACCAAAAAAGCCCACGAATTTTGATGGGTTTGATTCTGCCACATGAATATCCCAACACAAAGAATTTTCCAAACTAATGGCCCATATCTTGCACCTCACATAAAGCATGAGATGAACTATTGTAAATAAAAGAAAATAGTATGCTTAAAGGCTCTTGTCCCAACCAATTATGCTTCCAAAGGTATATATATTTCTCATTTCCAAGCTTACATGAAATGCAGTATGCAACCGAGTTATGATCACCGCCAAGAGCCACACATGCACTTCTCAAGTCTCTCCAGCACAAGGACTCTTTTCTACCATTATTAGTCTCCAGAGCACCTAGAATTTTTTACTTAATGTCACTATAACTGTGGGAAAGAAGGTCATACTAAATAACATCTTGATCTCGAATAATTCTTTAACTCCATTTTCTAAGGAAAGCTTGGTTGGATCTCCCATAACGTTTCGCCCCCAATCCTCCCTTTTCCTTAGTCATGAAAATTCTACACCAACTAACCCAACTTATCTTCCTGACTTCATCAGAATCACCCCAAAGAAAGGCTCTTTGAAACTTCTTAATTGCATCTAAGATAGCCTTAGGATCCTTTTCAGAATGAAAAGAAAAAGATATGGATATTGTTCAAAACAAAATTTAACATCGTCACCCTCCCTCTTAAGGATAAATGTTTCCCTTTCCAAGTTGCCAACCTACTCCTGAGTTTAGAAATAATAGGTTTCCAAGAATCTCTTCTTCTAAGGTTGGTCCCCATAGGAATTCCAAGGAAGAAAATGGTATTTATCCAATATAACAAGCCAAGAAAGAAGAAGCTATTTTCAAAAACTCATCATTTAGATTCGGCAAAATTATATCAGAGGTCCTATAAGTTATTTTTTTGAAACTTGTTAGTCCTTTAAATTTTTTTTGTAACAATTTGATTCTTTAGGGTGATTTATACATCTTTTTTCTTACATTTTGAACATTTATAAATGTGTGACTATTGTATTCTTGATTGCACTTCATCATTTTCATATCAGTCAAAATAATTGCATTCACAATTAACACATTCACTCTGTTAAAAAAGAGTAATTGTGCTTACATTTGGTAACTTAAAGAATTGAGTTGTTACAAAAAAAAGTTAAAGGACCAACATGTTACAAAAAAATAACTTAAAGGACCTCTGATGTAATTTTGCCTTCATATTCAAAATAAAACCTTACTCTTCTGCAAGGTGACAACTCAATATCATCTGCATATCCTTTGCAGATGATATCATCACACACCAGGACAATATCATCTGCAAATTGTAACATCTCAAAATAAATGTGCTCATTCACATGTATCCTCGAAACTCCCACAATTAACAAACATTCCTCATTAACCCTACCAAACCCGCAAACAAAAAAAAACAAAAAAGGGGACATAGGATCACCCTATCTTAAACCACTAGATACTTGAGAGTCCACTACTGGACTTCCATTAACCAGAACTGACATAGAACTAGAAAAAACCGTAGCTTCCACCACAATATCCATTTGGATCCTAACCCTATCCTCCACATCACATACCTAAGATAATCCCATGAAATACAATTGTATGCCTTCTTGAAGTCCACCTTAACAAAAAGACATTTCTTTTCTTATATCTTTTAGCGAAAATCGCCAGCTGATTGATCACTAAGACACCATCCAGCATTTATCTCTTTTGAATAAACGCAGTCTGACTTCGAGAAACAAACTTACCTATCGCTTTCTTCACCATGGCAGTCAAGATTTTAGAAACATTTCTATACAAACTTCCCACAAAACAAATAGACCTAAAGTCTTCAATTCTTTGGAGGATGTCATCTTTAAAAATCAGATCCACAGAAGAGGCGGTAATAGATTTGAGAAACCTAGCATTATCATAGAATTCGTGCACAAACCTAACAATATCTTCCTTGAGAAAATCCCAACATATCTTAAAGAAGCCAAGATTATACCCATATGGCCAACACTTTTATCAATATCACTAAGCCACATAACCTCCTTAACTTCCTCTAGCAAAAAAGGAGCTTCTAAATTGACCATGTCACTTTCTAAAACGTGATTGAACCCATCCACAATCCAACCATATTCAGGATGTTAAAGAGATAATAATATTTGAAAACTCATAATACTTTTACTACATTACCATTATCAAGTACTTGTTTACCCCCATAAGCACAACATAGAATGATCATGCATATACAATAAATTAAACAATACAATTACAAAATACATAATTAACATCACATTAAGTTATTAGTAATAATCAAGGAATATAGTTATTGATTATTTTATCCAGGTTATATATAGGAAACTTGTACTGTTAGTTAGCTGGAATATACATGTAGCTGAAGTGATTTCATATTGTCAGTCACATACTGTCAGTCTCTTTCATCACTTCAATATACCTTCCAGTTTTATCTTTACATTCCCTCTCTCCGGTCTCTATCTAAACTTTCAGTTTACTACATGCATCATATATTAATATCTCTCAAACAAAAATAAATATTATAATAATAAATCTCAACTTGCATGATTATTATATTTTTTTCAAAAATGAAAAATCCAAGTTTAGTTTATTCTTTAGCTATTCCACTTGTTCATCTTCCTTTGCCTCACCCTTCACAGAAACTCTATCTCAGATGCTTCATTTTAGTCATTTTTTATTCTTGTAATGTTGTTTTCATTTTTATGTTTGGCTTCTACTGCAATATATGCATTGTTAGACGGCTACATGTATATTCCGCAGGAAAATTCCAATATATGTATTGTTTTTTCTTATCTGTTATGAACAACTTGAGTGATATATATATATATATTATAATTTTCATAGAAACCCTAATTAAATATTTATTAAAGTAGTTTTGTAAATTGTATTTTCCTTTGTCATTTTTCATTCATTGAACTGCATTTTCTGATGATATCTAAAACAAAAAATGAGAACTCATAAACAATATTCCATACCATAATTAATGAAGAGAAAAAAAGATTGTAACTTGAAAAAATAAAGATAAAATTAATATTCATATAGAGTTTGAAGATTTTCATTAACATGGAGAAGAAACTTCACAAATCATCACAACTTGTGTACAAAAATAGAATAAACTAGTTAATAACTTTTTGTTGTTTCCCTAGCCTAAGTTCAAGATCTAAATCTTCCATTCCATGGTTAACTCCAAGCACAATTTCTGAAGGTTGTTGAAAAGTCAAGAGCCTTTGATGATCATTTGAGCATGGTTTGATGAAAAGAGAAGGTAAATAAGAAGTGTTATCAATCTTCAATCTTTTACAGATGATACCTTTTTCCTTACATGGAAGAACAGTTGATGGTTTTTGTCCAAACATTCCCAAAGACAAACTTGTTTCAACACAATCCTTAAAACTGTCTTCTCTTGCTTTATTACACTCTATCTTCTTCTGTCCCCAAATAATTGAAGAAGAATAAGGTGATGATGATATAGTTGAGGTTGAGATCATTCTAGAAGGCGAAATAGATCTTCTTTTTGCAGGAAAACAATGATTACCTAGTGATGATGAGTTGATGAAATCATTGTTCTTTTGAGGGCTAAGATTTTGCTTGAGTCTAGCTCTATCTCTCCTATGAATGTTCATGTGACCACCAAGGGCTTGTGCAGACCTAAACTCTCTTTTACAAAAGTTACATGAATAGAATCTTGGTGGCCATATGCTTCCATTCAGTATACTCCTTGCTGCATCTTCTGCAAACGCTTTTTCTTCCCACGATTCGGTTTGCGCTTGAATTTGCCTTCTCTTCATCCAAAACCAGTACTGATCGGAGTGAAATCCCTCCATGCAAAGAAAATTAAATCAGCTAAAGATGAAAATAGTTAAGAGAAAATAGGACTATGGAATGTGAAAATAAGAAGCAATGTTGAAATAAAGCAAGAGAGAGTGAAGTGTATATAAATGATTTAAAGGGTGTCCTTGTCCATGTATTTATAATATAATTGAGTAAACAGTTATTTTCATACTAGAGCCGTTCTCGCCAAGGCTGTCTCAAGTTTTATCAGATCCTGTGTAGATTAGTCGTAATTTAACTATGACAAAGAAGCTAATACTAATAATGTTATTATTCACCGTTTTTATGATACAAAACAAACTACGGTTAATTCACACAGCAGCGACCGCGATCAGTATCATAACATCTGTATCGACCGAAATCACAGAAAGTTTTTTATGCTAGCGTTATTTAAAACCTCGGTGAAAACTGGCTAAATATTTGTTTTATGAATTTTGCTTTGTGAGATATAAAGGTGTAGTGGGGTCCCTTTTAAGAAACTGTCTTGTATCAGATTTAAATCACACGGATGAAGAAAATAACGGTTATGATAGCAAGAAAAAAGAAATGCTGCAAAACTGGATGGATTTTTGAAGGTTCCATCAACATTATATATAGGGTAATAGTGTTGACTTATGTTAATATGACATAACTTTTTTCCTTTGGTAAATGCAATATATGTACTGTGTGCATGTGCATGAAGTATATAGCTCATTTAATAATTCTGTACCATTACAGCAACTAATCTGTTATACTTAAAGTCCTATTTAATTGTATTTCTACTTTGAACTTATAGTAGGAGTTTATATTTTCAAAATGAAAATGAATATGTGATGATGAGAAGTGAGAAATGAGGGAAATCTTGCATGTCAACGAGAACTAGTAACTCATTTACTTAATCTTTTTATATCTATAATATAGGAAAGGTTAATAGTCTCGAAAGTATATTTTTACCCTTCATTCAAATTATGACATGCGTTGTTTATGGGATATTTGAAGTCCAACTTCTCAATTATATATTTATTTTGATTTCACAATCATATGAGTTCCGCAATAGATAGGTTGTTAACTTAAGTTTTCACTCACATAGATATGGAAGGTAATAAGTGTGTAGACCACTAAAAAAAATTGTAATTTGGCACGTAAAAATTACAAGTTGAGAGTGTTGACCACTTAAAGAAATTCAAATTAGTGTTATGTACTACTGAAGCCATAGAACATAATAGAAAACCATATCAAGTTGAGAGTGTTTTCATTATTGAGAGTGTTACGTACTATTGTTGCTGCTGCTTGGGTTGCCTCCTCTGTATCTCTGGTTCTTTCTCTGTATTGTCTTTTTGCTTGTGTTGATTATCCTTAAGTTTGAGGTGGAACTTGTCTCCTCTTGCCTGGTGTTTTCTCTCTTGCCTCTCTGGTACTGTTGCATAGCATGCATTTTACTGTTTACTGTTTACTGCTTGCTTTCGTTTGCTGTTTCCCCTAGGATCTCTGATTTCCTCTGCGCAAGAGGGAATTATGACAGACATTAGGTTTTGACCCATGTATGATAATTGTAGGTAGATTCCCCTTTCAACCATAGTTTTAGGGTGTCTCTCTTTTCTCATCTCAAATCAAATTCAAAAACACAGTAATAAGGTTAATTGAAGTCGTGCGTTACGAGCCTTAAGCTATTTGGGAAAAGGTTGGTGGAGGGTCTCTCTCCAGTAATCTGGATGTTAGTGTGGTACCCTTTGGGTGACATACGAAGCGTTCACTCCTGGGTCATAGTCTCTAGTGCGACTGAGATTGCAAACATCCTAAAAAAACAGTTCTTTCGTAAAAAACTCAAAACAAACATTCAAACTCTGTTTTTGTCCTCTTGGACCTTTAATCAGGAAAACCCTTTTCAGAAGGAGATAAAAAACTGTCAGACAAACTTGTGTCTTCCGTAGCCCGAACTACGTTTGGTCTGATCTTTCATGCCGTATGAAAGTACGTAGGCACGAGACGCGATATCTCGGCGAGCAACCTTCCCCCATAACCCGTAGTTAGGCGAACTACGTTGACTCTGATTTCTCGTTCCAGACGGGAATACGTAGGCATAAAGTGCGATACTTTGCCGAGTCATTTTCTTTTCTTTTTAACCCAGGTCTTTAGAGTAGATAGATAAACACACCCTTAGATAGAAAACAAGCGTGGATCCCGTCGAGTACGACAGACGTGTGGGGTGCTAATACCTTCCCCTTGGGTAACCGACTCCCGAATCCAGGATTTGGTTGCGATGACCATTCCTTTCCCTCTTTGCGTTAGGTTTACTCTGAGTGTTTCCTTTCCCTCTTGTGGGATAAATAACGCACGGTGGAGACTCTTCTGTCATAGCTGGTGCCGATTTTCGCAGTAGCGACAGCTGGCGACTCTGCTGGGGACGTCTGGTTCCCTATGCGAGTCAATCCTAGCGCTTGTTTTCCCGTTTGGGGTTTTGTATGTATTTATTTTTTTTGTCTTTACTTTCAGTACTGTATATATTGTTGTTATGCTGTGGGTAAGGGGTTAGTTTGAGAGATAAGCCGGACCTGGGCTTGAGTGCACATAGACTTAGAAGTAGAGAGTAGTGGTTAGCCTGCTTGCTTTGCTTGCACCAGCTAGCTACGAAATTTACACTCAGACGAGATTCTCTTTGATGGTATCTTGCCTGGCCCTTTGGGCTCGACAGGTTGTTGGATTTGAGGGTTGTCGACTCTGGGAACCTATCATTTGGGATTCGACTAAGTGAGGCCTCTTCAAGGGATGATGATGCCACACCTTCTGGGTATCGTATCATCGCTCTTGAAAGTCTGTGACGTTGAACCCGCATAGGATGTCGTACCTCGTCTGCGAGTTAGGTACATACCTGTGAGAGGGTAGGTGGGTCTTTTTGCAGGAAAACTCTGGCCTCAGAACACCTGGTTTGTCTCTGTCAGTGAGAATTGATTGTGAGGGTTCTTTTGTGGATAGTTTGGTTTGAGGAGAAGATCTGATTGGTTCTCAAGCTGCAGTACAGCACAGCACAGTTCCTCATCATTGCACTTGATCCCCTGTCTGCATATGCATCATCTGCATTTTCATGTTTGCATAATCATATTGCATAGTAGGTACTTTGAGTGTTTTCGCCTAACCCTCTGTGTGTGCCAGTATGGCCGGATAGATCGAAGGTTCCGAGCAATGGAGCAGATTCAAGGTGAATTGATTGAGGTCCGAAGCCAGCTAGGGCAAATGACGAGAGACATGCAAGAGTTGCGTCTGGATCAGAAGACACTCAGGGAGGAAAACCATCAGCTGAAGGCCCAGGTGGGCTTGATCATGGAAGTGATGAAGAATGTGCTCAGGAAAGAAGGTGATCAGCTACCTGAGGCTGCAGCAAAGATGCTAGTTCCACTTGTGCCTGTGGAACCTGTGCCCGTGAAACCGGTGCCGAAGGATGATAAGCCTCAGATGTCTCATAGTCGACAAAGAGTTGTGAATTTTTCTCTTCAACGTGGCGCTGCTAGGGATAATCATGTGGCTAAGAGGGAGAACGCCCAGAAGGTAATGTCAGCTAAAAGAACTTTCGATCTGATCCCCATGACTTATGCTCAGTTGTTGCCAGTCTTACGTCAGCTTCGATTGGTCGAATTACGGAAATTACATCCACTAACTAGGACCCTACCACGCGGCTATAATGCAAACGCCCGTTGTAGTTTCCATGAGGGGGCTCCCGAACACTACATTGAGAACTGCAAAGCTTTTAAGCACATAGTTCAGGACTTGATCGACTCAAAGGCTATTAATTTCGCGTCGGGCGACACGAGCCTAATAGAGGGTCCCATCCCAGGCATTACAGAAAAGGCTGACACTCCTGCTGTCGTCCCCGAAACGACATCGGGCCCCAAGGAGGCCCTGCAATTTATGACTTCTGAATCTCCATGCCCGCAACTCTCGCCAATTCCAGGGCTAAACCTAAGGATAATCGCCTCAGAGCAAAAGGAGTCCTTGGTATCTCAGGCTAAATTTCCAGATGTCTTGACCATTTTAAGTCAACAACCCCTAGGGGCCGTGCCTCAGACATCATCTCCCTGCCGGAACCAACAGTCATATCACCATCAGCAGCGTCAGCACGCCCGACGAAGACCAAAGAAGCCCGAAAGGCAATTTACTCAGCTACTGGTGTCGTATAGTCAATTGTTGCCATATTTGGTCAAAAGTGGGCTGATAGTGCCGAAAGAGACTAATCCAATGATCCCGCCTCACCCTCCAGGTTTTGATGCCAACGCTCGCTGTGAGTACCATGTTGGGGCACAGGGGCATTCAACAGATGACTGTAAGGTGCTGCGAAGCCAAATTCAGACCTTGTTGGACTCTAACAGGATATCTATCACGCCTCAGGGTGTCAACCGTCCTTCATCTAGCCAGGTGGGTGTGTCAGTTCAGGTTATGAGGGAGTTCACTGAAAACAGATGTTCAGAGGAGTATCAGGATGATTTCGACGATCAACTCTGAAGATGGCTGGCCCAGCAGCAAAACAGTGTGAAAGCCCAGTACTCGAAGGCTGGCAGTCTGCATTTTATCATGTCATTGCTTTGCATTTGTAGTTTCTTTCCTGTTAGAATTGCAAATTTTCGCTTGTAAAACTTGTTGTTTTTCAATTGATATTGACAATGAAATAAATATGCATGTTTTGAATTAACCCATTCGTGTTCACTCTATTGCTTTCATTTATTTCTAACGCTTGTTTAAGTGGAATCCGGGGAGGATGACGAAAATCGAAAGACCCAGAGCTTCCGATTGTACGCTTTTGAAATGAAACCTGCTAATGATGTATAAGCATTGTTTCAAATCCCCAAACACAGGAGATATAAGGAAGATAATCCCTTGTCAACCCCTTTGAGCCTAGTAGTAGGAGTTCTTTCTGAAAACGAAAAACCCTCAATCTTAACCTGGGGCAGGGTAGGTGTTAGCTAATTTGACCGAGCGTCCAAGTTGCAGAAAGGAGTATTCGTTCGAGGATCAATCACACCTC